ATTCTACATAGTAGGGAGCTAGTGAAACTTTTGTACACATTTGCACAAGGCTAAATTATAATTATGCTGTTAATTCTTATCCTATAGAAGATGGAAATACTTTGCCGCAATCGATCTAGTGGTGAAATGCTCTGTCAGCAACCAAGAAGGTTGTGAGCCGAATTTAAGAAGTTCTACTAACTTTTGATGTAAATAATATCAGTTTCAAGTTTGCGCTTCTGTGACAGCATATTTTCTACGCAGGCTTTTTAAAACGTCATCGTCGAGGGCTCCATCGCTGCATAGCAAACTATTTCTATGTTCTACAAAGTATTAATGAACGAATTATTTGTAATTATTTTACCTTTCGCAAATAACACATCTAAAAGTGTTACTGGCTCCCTTACACTATCAAACGCAAAAACAAAATGACATTTACGGATGTGTAATTGGAACTCAGAGTAGGAAACATAACAGCAATAAATTTTGATGATTTTAAGATGAAGTAGAATTTGCACATGAGTAATACAGATCATCAATAATGGGAAAGGTCTATTGTTTTGCACAACATACTGTTTTTCGTTTGTGTTCTCGAAATTTAAACAATATATTAAAAGCAAGATATAAATAAAACTGACATATATTCACAAAAGAAATGTTAGGACAGGCAAATTAGCATTTTTTTTATGTTTTTTCTTCAATAGCAATCTGTCAAAATTGATTAAAATTCGATTCACATAGCCATAGTTTATTTTATGACTTGTGTATGGTGAGCAGCCATGAGCTATATACAATATTAAAATAGTCTGAAGTAGACAATACAAATTTTAGAACAAAAATCTTCTGGAATTAGCTTTCTGGATTAATTGCAACTTTTAAAGGGCGGACCGAAAAAAAAAATATTTGTACATTCTAGGCTATTGTATATATGACATGCAGTAAATATATTTGCAAAACATTTTTGGTGTCTTTAGGTATATTTTAATTTTTAACAAATATTTGGTCCTATTTATTGTTTAGGCCGTGTTCGAGATTTGTTGCTCAAAAGTACATTTTGCTTACTGTTTAATATCATTTGGAAAATCATAAATAAAGTTACATAAAGTATTTCCTTCGTTTTTATCTTTAATGTGGTTAACACTCCTTTACAAGCAATAAAACAGAACAAAAAGTCTAATACAGAACTTTCGTAAAGTAGTGAATAAATTAGTTTTTATTCGAATGTGACATAAAACATCGTTTTTCGGACAAAAAACAATCGAAAAGGAAAAGTTTTAAATAGACTACAAATGAACTACTAAAAAGTACTTTTAGGGCCCAGGCCGCCAAAGTAAAGCGGCTCCGCTATTTAAATAGTCCATTTTATTTTGGATTTACCTACCTTTTATTACTGCGGGCGATATTTTTTGTTATTGTAAAATTGTTCATCAAATTTAAATACAAACATTTTTAATTGAATAAGAGAGAAACTAAATAAAGTATAATTATGTAATTGACATAAACACACTAACATGACAGCAATTGTTATCAAAAATATACCTACCTAGTCATTCTTATCGATCACAGCCATCTCAATAATAAGAAAAATTGGAAAATAATATTTGGATTTCATTTTCTATATTTTTTTAATATCTATAAGCACATTCGAATAAAAAATAATGTATAAAACACGGCGAAAAGTGTATTTTCGGACTACTACGAGTTGCCAGGCGAGACGTTGTCGAGTCCTTATAAACTACTATTTTAAGGTCAATTTTTAATTTCAATATATTTTTAACAAAAAGTTATGTATACAGGGTAAGCATAATAAACTATGGAAAGCTGAATTCAAAAATATATCACATATAGGGTTGCCATTAAAAAAATATCGACGTCATTCCTTCTACACAAATCATCCTATCCTGTATTTATTAATTTCATTTGTAAGAATGCCCATGTAACAATAAAATTCGACGACCGACCTTTTTTCCAAAATTTTAATTTTGGAGGTTAAAGATTTTCTATTTCTGAAGTTTTAGAAGAATATCTTAAATTTGAAATTGCATTCATTCAATAGAGGACATTTTTCTAAGAGAAGAAAGGCTTTTTCGTTGAACTAAAAAGGCTTCTCAAAAAATAAATAATAATAAAAATACTCTAATTAGAGAAATTATTGTTTATATAAAAAAAAAATTAAAGAAAGCATATATTCATTGTTTTATTTTACTTTGTGCCTTTTTGCGTTTTCTAAGCAGAGATAGTTGTGACTTAAATAGATCACGATTTTACATATTCGTAAAACTATTGAATTTTTATTAACAAATTAAGTAAAATACTTTTTTTAATAAAAAATAAATTTTGTTGCAAAAAATTAGAACGAAAGCGGTATCAAGGTAAACGCGATAAAAATTTTATAAAATAACTAAGTTTGAGCTGTTTTATCTCAGTCCATTTTTATCCATAAAAGTTTTATAAAATAACTAAGTTTGAGCTGTTTTATCTCAGTCCATTTTTATCCATAAAAGTTTTTTGACACCATTTTAAAGGAAATTTTTGGCATATTTTCAAATTCTTTTTTTTTAATGTTTTAAATGAATTATTTCGATGGGAAATCGCATTCTCTAAAAAAAAGGGGTTTTCCGGATTTTACAATATGCGAGATATTGCAAGACACTTCGACTTGTTATAACGAATCTTGAGCCAGTAACCGTTGAAGAACTCCACTTCCTGGTTCCATTGGATTTTATTAGCTCGGCTCGATGGAATAATAAAATCATGTTAAAAAGTACGCCAATAATTTAACTTAATTCAACTTTGCACGTTTAAAATAGGACCTTCGATTCTATCCATTGTCTGCGCAATACATAATAAATTAAGTTTTACGATTGTTTTGTTTTTCAAAGCAACTTACTATTATTTTCAAAATACGTTACCCGGTGGTCTGTTACTTAAGATAAACACACAAACTGATAGATTATCATACCAAGTGTTTCTTAACTACCAGTAAAAAACTGAAATTTAAAAAAAATATGTACTTACTTTCTTTTGGTACTTCCAAACAAAATTATATTGGTTCACTTTAATTCCTGTGTATACTAACTAGTTTATACTTTGAAAAATGGTTTCTTTTTCAACGCTCTGGAAACAAATGAACGCATTTGCTCCTAATATTTATTTAATTATTTATTTATGTATTGATGAATTAAACAAGTCAGTCTTTACAAATATCTGAGAAAAGCGTTTCTACTTCACGTACAGGTAGCATGTATTTCTGCAAGTTTTAAGTTGATTGCGACCACAAAGCGAGTATCCTTCTAACTTACACAGTTTTATGATATATCAATTCGCTACTAATACTATAAAATTGTGAAAATAAGTTTGTTTACAAAATTTACAACAGTACAATTTCGTACTAATCGTCGTCTGTCTCTTACGTTTTCAGGTATAAATTAAGCAACAAAACATCTTTGTGTATGGGGTATTCCACTAATAGAAAGTCAAAATTAAAGTCGCAACCTGCTTAAATGAGATCGACTATCGTGGACCGTCGTTTACATCTCACAGACTCCCAATTATTTTTTTCGCATCATCGGTTTAGAGAACAAATTACCGATAGTCATTCCCGAAGGAATTTTGTGCTCAAAATCCATTGGTGACATCGTTTTTATCATCTGAGTTAGTTACGATGTATCGGCAAAGATTACCAACCATAAAAATTCAATAAACTCTGTGCGCAAGAAAGTTAAATTATATAATTTTATTTTGAGATATTCATTTTAGTCAGATATATTTGCTCTCGCGATAAATTTGATCTTTGTCATACATCCCTCAAGTAAGTGAAACAACACTAGTATGCAGGAATTAAGTTTTACTATAAATTTTTACGATTTTCTATCTGCTCTTTGCTTGCACCAATCCGGTCTGAAATGTGGATGGATTGATAGCAGCATGGACGTACTAAATTTTTTATAAATGTATCACATTCTTCGTCGTTTAATATCAAAATTTCCAATTTTATTAATGAAAATAAGTACAACATTAAACAAATAAAATCACAGAGGCTCAATTAATACCAGCCGCTGCTTATGACGTTCTTCTAAATCCCTTTAAATTGGAGTGTAGCGCTCTCTCGATTTTAGTTTCTCGCTTTTACTGTCCTCTTTCGTTATTTATACTCCTTGGCATGGGTCAAGAAAGTGGCTGCATGTGACACATGAGTTACATCTAAATTGCATTATTTACAATTGTATGTGAGAGATGAGATACGAGTTGAGGGACCTAGTACATGCGCCTGAATTGCTAACAGTTAAAGTCAACATTGGTAAGTGCAAGGTAATAAGATTTTATCGCTGTATTGGAACGATAGAACATAGTTATGGAACGTCTTGGCTTTGGCACATATTGTAAACGATCTCGTAATTATCTTTGACAAAGACCTAACCTTTATCATGGCAAAGAAGTAGATTTATTGCCTTGGCTAGTTTCTAATTGCCGCTAGCGGAGGGAGCAGTAAATTGATGACGTCTCTACCTTAGTTACACCAATAACTAAAATTAAAATACAAGACTTATTTTTACTCAGTGTGACTGTTTCTTTTTAAACTGCTTATTCATCTATATTTGTTTCACTGTAAGAAAATGTGGGAAAGGCAATGGAAAAATAAAACGTATTAAGTATAGGAAAAGTGTTTTCTTTGTATGTGCTTTTATTATGATAAACAGCACCAGCGGGAAGCTTTATTAAAATAAAACGGATGATCTTGGCAATGTTAAAATTCTTTATTCAAATTACTATTTCATCGTCCCTTTTGTCAGGTACATTTTCACAATATATCTTTTTTATTGAGGATTTAATATTATCTTTAATTATTAACTATTAATAGCAATCAAGTTGAATAAAAAATCTTGACAAAAAACGCTTAGTCGATAGAATTATGCAAAATAAAAATTTATTGACCTGCGTTAACGAGTTAAATTAAATGTATAATAATATAAATGCGTATTATTAGAGGAAAATTCTTGAAAAAATTGTTATTTTTTTCTTTAGTTAAGAGAGGGGGTGATGTTATCGCACCAGTTCACTTCTATATTTGGCCACTTCGTTTGGAGTACTGTCAACATTGGGTTAGACTCACACACTGATTTAATATCAGATTCCAGCAAGATGGCTGAACCTATATGATAGTGAACCTAAAAAAAATAATTAAGTAATAAAAAAATCAATGCATTTTTAGCATGAATACGCCACATTAGTGTCACGTAAATTTGGTGCCACTGACAGTTAACTTTTGACCAAACCTCAACAAAAACAAACAATAATTTGAAAATTCAGAAACAAATCTCAAAAATCTCTACAAATTATTAAGATCATCCCCGAACCTCTAAGGTGAAAACAAATAATTGGAGATTAAAAAAAAGCTATCGTCGACAGGATTTGAACCCAGACATTCTTGTTCTCTAGACAAATGCCCTTTCCTCTAGACAATCAACGACATTGACTGTCGAGATTCTTAGACAGACATTTGATGTGCTAGTTCAGGCAAGATTTGTTTCCGAATTTTCAAATTATTCAGCCACTTATTTCAGATATTTCAATTTGAGATTCATAAAAATAATCGGGTTAATTAAAAAGAAACGTTTAATCGAAAAGATTCGATTAATAGAAAATAATTGAAAATAACCGATTAATCGAAATGAATCGATTAATCGAAAATAATCGATTTATTTTGATAATCGCCCGGGCTTAACGTTTTTAGCAACAAAATTATTTAAATAGGAAGTTTTACTTGAGCAATTTGATTTTTTTATTAATTTATGGAAATATAAAATCTACAAAAAAGTGTCTACTAAAACTAGCCAAAAGCGCTGAAAATCTACTAAATGTGGCACCGTTGGATAAAGATTCCCAGTCAGAGTGACCTTGACCGAGCACAACGACTAATCGTTGAACCAAGCGAGTTAACTGTCGTGGCGTAATCTACGTGCGATGTACAAAATGATTCTAAAGATAACGTGGTTCAAGCAGGCATACTGTTTCACGGATTTGTTGACCTCTCTTTTTAAATACAGCAATTCGCGGATACCTCTCGCATTCAATCAACATATTGTATCGCAGACGCGAGTTTTTAATAATTTTTATTTATTTTTATTTTTTAGTTTTATTTATTTTTATTTATTTTTATTTATTTTTATTTATTTTTATTTACTTTTACTTATTTTTATTTATTTATATTTATTTTTATTTATTTTTATTTATTTTTATTTATTTTTATTTATTTTTATTTATTTTTATTTATTTTTATTTATTTTAACGATACTCCCCATTTCCCCCTCCTAAGATGCGAAAATTAAAAAACCTTGAAATACGTCATTATTTACTTATGATGAGTAGCTACAATTCCAATTTTCAACCATTAAAAACCGAAAGTCTTATACAAAATTTCACCCTCATTCCCCCCTTTAAATGTAAAAAACCCAAAAACCCTGAAATATGTCTATTTATTAATGATGAAAAGCTACAATTCCTATTTTCAAGTTCCTACCTTTAAAAAAATTGATTCTCCCTTACAAACTTGCACCCCCTTTCTCTTTTCCCCTTGTCCCTCTTAAAATAGAAAATCCAAAAACTCTGTAACACGGCAATATTTATTTATGCTCTATAGCTGTATTTCAAATTTTCATGTTTCACTACCACTATAAAAAAAATCATGTCGATCCCTTGCTCTGTGAAAAACAAAAACAAATTTATCCCACAGGAACCGTACTTTTTCCGGTATAAAAAGTAGCCTATGTGATATTCCAGACTATAATCTATCTCTGTGCCAAATTTCATCAAAATCCGTTCAGCCGTGATTAGGCAATATCCATCCATCCATCCATCCATCCATCCATCCATCCATCCATCCATCCATCCATCCATCCATCCATCCATCCATCCATCCATCCATCCATACATCCATACATCCATACATCCATACATCCATACATCCATACATCCATACATCCATACATCCATACATCCATACATCCATCCATACATCCATACATCCATCCATCCATCCATCCATCCATCCATCCATCCATCCATCCATCCATCCATCCATCCATCCATCCATCCATCCATCCATCCATCCATCCATCCATCCATCCATCCATCCATCCATCCATCCATCCATCCATCCATCCATCCATCCATCCATCCATCCAAATTTTCACATTTATAAATTAGTAGGATTATGTAACGGCAAGGTGAATTCGCGGGTTTCGGGTTATAAGTTCGTGGAAACCTTTCTGGTAAAAAAATATCTGAAAATATCCCTTCGTAAAATATTGGGTTTGAGAATTTAAAGATATTAGGCTGGCAGATATTTCATTTGGAGAAATTGACATGTTAGTGAATGTAGAAGGTATTACAGGGGTTTCCGAAACAGGAGAGTTTATGAAGTAACTAGTTTCAATATCAATGTACTTTAATGAAGAAAGTAGATGGCGAATATTTCGTGGGCTTACTGCAAAAAGTGAACAAGTTAAATTTTATGAGATTTAAGTAAAGTCAGATCTACTGAACAAAAAAAAGATCAAGTCATATTGATGGAGTTAATTTAGTACTTTCAGGTAGTATAAATATGACTTGGTAATTTTTATTTTGGTATATCTGACTGTAACAAATGACTTCGTCATATTAACTCAAATCACATAACATTTGACTTGGTCACTTTTCGCAGTAAGCTCACGATTTATGGATCGTTGGCTAGTTTATTAATATCACATGTCTATACTCAAAATATTAAGAGACCCTGAATGGCACCATCAAAAACTTTTTAAAGATATTCTTCTAGAGAATATAGAAAACATAATATAAACACATGTTACTTACATGTCCATTGATATTACTCCTTGCCAGTCCATTGTAATGGACCAGAGTGAACATGTCTGGGGTCGAAGACTCTTCTATGGGAAAAAATTCATCCATGAAGGCATTTAACAGAATTATACCTAAATTTTCGTTATCTAATTTTTTCTTCATTATATTTACACTAAAACAAAAACAATATTGCTGCATATAATTTTGTCTATAATTCCACGAATTATTTTTTGTAACAGATGTCGTGTAGTAATAAAAGAAATTTAAAAAATGTATTAATTTTATTAATAATGATAATGGTATGGTGTAAACTGAATATTGAGAAACAGGGTAATAAACTTGGTGATATTCAAATGACCTTATTTTATCCATTTTTATAAAATAATATGTTAACCAGCTCACCCAGCAGAATAAAGATGAGTCGCTTAATTATATTTGGACATGAGAAGTTTAAAGAGGGTAATCGGTTTAACCACGCCCTTGCGTTTCATTACCGTCTACTGGAGTGAGGAAAAGCAAACAACTCATTTAGTCCTACAGAATTCATGGTTTATTTTGACAGACTTCTTTGTGCATTAAGGTTAAAAAAGTGTGAAGATTTAAAATTCAATCATTTTTAATTCCCAATATTAAATAAGAACAATGATCTAATCTCAATGAATTCTAGATCTTTTTACAATATGACATAGTAAATAGAAACTTAAATATTATGTGTAAGTTCACAATTTAATAAAATGAGGGACTATATTTTTTTCTCAATCTTTATTTGTATCTAATCTGCACAGTTCATAAGGTTCAATTTATTTGGGGTTCTAAAGTTGGATACATTTTAGGACTCCATGGATGAAGAGATTGTGTTCATTTGGGAGCATTTTGAGGATTCTAACTTAATCACTACTATTATTGTTATCCATCTGTATACAGAACGTATTTTGTTTTTATTTTAAATAACTCTATTACACCAGTTTATAAATTTATATACTTTGTAAAACCCAAACCCTTGCTGTAAACAAACTTAAATGTTTTGGAAGCAAGAAAGTATTAAATAATTTGAAAATTCGGAAACAAATCTCTAAAATCCCCTTATGAATTATTAAGACCATCCCGGGCCTCAAATGTGAAAACAAATACTTTAGATTTGAAAAAATCTGTCATTGTCGGGAGTCAAACCTAGACCTTTACTTTTTCCGGACGTGTGACCTTACCGTGAGGCTATCAACGACATTGACTGTCGAGATTCCTAAACGGAAATTTAAAATGCTAGTTCTAGCCAGAGGACGTTCAGGTTTCTTCTCAAATCAACAAATACCTTCAATGCAGCATTGGTGTAATGAGAAATGCATTTAAATGCATACTGAGCTCATTCTTCGTCTGCGTGGAGGTATTTGTAGAGAAGAAACCTGGAGTCCAATTCCTGAAACTGTGCGCTGAACGCCGCATTCGGTTAGCGACGCATGGTCGCCACCGCATGCGACAGAAAATTTGTATTCTTGGCTACCCTTCGATAAGGTAGTTTCGTGTCGCATGGTGTAGCGAATAGTCTTTAATTATTGCAGTAGTTCGATCTTTTCAACTAATCAAATTTCAGGACATTATAACAAAAACTGCATTATCAGCTAAAAAAAATTCAAAAATAGTTATTTGTGTAACTAGTGCAAAAAGTGTATCTTTGTTGCATGAAGCATGAAGTTTGCAGCTTGAGACGAAGTCGAAAGCTGCAATCATGCTGAGTGCAACAAATATGCTTTTTGCACGTGTTGCACACAATATTTTTTCTACGATCGAAATAAAATATACTCTTATATCAAATTTTATTAGAATATTTTACAAAAGGTACAACAAAAATCTCTTATTTTACTTTTTTGAGTTTATTTCAATTTTAATGTCGCAGTTATTGCAGTTTACTATGTTTAGTGACGGAAAAACTTCATTTCCAGCAATATTTTGAATTTTGGTTTCATTTTTGACTGGCTCTTCATTTGAAACACCTCTTTTTCGTATTGTGAAGCTTCCGGTGCTGGTACTTGGTTGACATTCAAGAATTTGAGCAGCTATTTCTGTTTTTTTTTAGAAATAGACTCCTCAATGTAGCCCTCAGCTACAGTTGAGGATTTCCACCCTCTGTGCCGTTTCAAAGTTAATATATCTGCGCCGGATTCTACTAGTAAGGTTGCAGAAGATCTGCGAAAGCAGTGTCCCGTGTATTCCATTGGGTTTTCAATATTTAAATATTTGGAAATATCACTTGGGATTTTGCCAAAAGTGTTTACACCAACAGGTTGAACGGAACATTTTCCGTCATAGTATCTAATAAAAAATCTATTGTGGCTTGTTGATTGGGGACGGAGGGATGCATATTTGCGATACATTTCCACAAAATTAAAGGATCTAATTTGTCCGCTTATTACAAATGATCGAGGTTTGTTGGTCTTGCTGTCGGGAATTTTTACTGTTATGATAGAATTCATGTTATTTATATAATTTAAAGTAAGTTTCTGTAACTCATCCCTGCGGCATGCTCCTGCAATCCCAAATACTGCAACTATCTAAAAGAAACAAATACCTACGTATAAAGTTAAAAAAAGATTATTTTTATATTTTACCTTCATCATTAAATATTTACTGTCGGGAGCTTCAACTAAAAACTTATCAAGTTGCTCTCTTGAAAAAACTTTGGACTTTTTGGGGCGATACCCTACCGACTTCTTCTTTAAAAAAGGAATTAATTTTTGAAAATTTCGAATTTCCACAATATTGTTTATTAAAAGTGTAGCCTTTAGCATTGAGTACTCTGACCACAAAGTCGATGGCTTCAGTATTTCCGACTTTTCTTTTAAATATGCAAGTACTACGTTTTCTGTAATATTTCCAACAGATTTAGTCTCACACCATTCTGTGAACCGTTTATAACATACTTCATAATTTTTTTTTGATTTATTGGGTAGTAAATCTGCCGTTGTTTCATTAGCTCTTTCCACTAAATCTGGAGGCGTACAGAAACTGATAGTTTTTTCCTCACTATCCGAACTGAACATTTTTAATAACTTTACAACTTAATAAATGTTTAAACTATTAATTTGACACACACAGAGACAAATACGCAGATGTAACTGGATGTAACACGAAAATATTCTGACAGTTCAGAGTATTTACAAAATAATTCATAGGTAACTACGAAAATTAAAAAATATTTGCATTAATTAAAATTAGAGTAAAAAATCTTTCAATTCTGTATTTTATTTCATTCCTATCTAACAAGCGAATTTGGTATTAACAAAAGGGTAGATAAAATATATATTTCTACTTTTTGAAATTTAATCACAAATTCCAGTAATAAAGTGACTGTATATATTTTGGTTTACGAAACGTTTCTTTAAAACCCATGATGGCCTAACGGCTAAGATGTTTACCACCCACCGGAGAAGTTCGGGTTCGATTCCCGCGCTGTGTTCTTTTTTTATTTTTTTCCAAAAAATTGACTGACAATTTGAAGTGTTTTTTGCACTAGTGCAAAAAATTAAACTTTTGGCACAGTATATAGAGTAAAAAATAGTCACTTTTTGCACGATCGTAGAAAAAAATAACTTGTTTGAGTGGTAAATTAGTAGGTCTTTGGAATTGGAGATTGAGAAGTAACGAAAAATTAACAAAATATTTTTATAAACTGTCTCTGGTAAAAAAGATAGTTCCAGTTTGTTGTATTTGAGAGGTGGCAGTTCTGCATCTAATAAAGTTAATGACTAATGAACACTTATAAACAACAAAAATCTGAAATAATTATATAATAACTGGTAATTATAAAAGATTCATTAAACTATAAACTAGGAAGAATAATATTTTATATTAGTTATATGTGACAGTGACAAGTAACAAGCTTGGATACCCATGCGAGATAAGGTTGTCGAATGATGAAGACTGTTCGTTGCCAATTTTCTACTCGCATACGTCACCGTGTGCGAGACGATGGCGAACGCCGTCAGGAATTAGGTCCCTGAACGTCGTCTGGCTAGAACTAGGACCTTAAATTTTCGTTTAGGAATCTCCACAGTCAATGTCGTTGATAGCCTCATGGTAAGAAGACACGTCCGGCAAACGTGGGGGTCTGGGTTCGACTCCCGACAATTACAGGTTTTTTTTTTAAATCTACAAGTATTTGTTTTCACATTTGGGGCCCGTGGATGGTCTTAATAATTCGTAAGGGGATTTTTGAGATTTCTTTTTGAATTTTCAAATTATTTAAAAACTTATTTCATATAATTCTGACTTTTCGGATTTCGATTTGCGATGTATTAAATTCACAGTTTTAATAAAGTATTATTATTATTATTAATCACTACTATTATATTGTTATGCTCCTAATATATATTTTAAATACAAATAAATCAAGGACACTTACTATTCAAGTTCGCTTACTAGATCTAAGTTCTTAAGCACGTCTTGTAATTTATCAGAACTGATAAAGTTATTTCCATGAGGATCAAAACTCTTGAACACCCTTCTGGCCTGTTCACTTTTTGTTTCAGGACTTACCAATTTACGTTCGTCGCTGAAAAGAACTGAAAAAAAAATATCTAAAAATACATTTATTGCAGATTTTTTAATACAGTAATTTTAAACGCACACAAGACATCTTATCAAAAAATACTAATGTCAAAGGAGGTATTAGCTAAATATTCAGTAAAAACAATATTTAAAACAATACATGCAAGAAATTAGCATCGGTAATTAAATGTTTTTTTTTAGCTATTCAGACATCCCTCTGCTCCCTCCTGAAGGCTCTAGGAATTTTACCCCTAATCAGGCTTGCCTAAATTCCTCTAGGACTTATTGTGCCACTATTTGGATACACTACTCCTACCCATTTATTCAACTCATACATACCACCGTCTAAAAGGGCTGGGAGCTCGGTCACTCATTCAAACGGTGACTGGTCTCACGCCGCTTAACCATGATCGGTATTTTTGAAAACCTTTCATAGTCAGCCAGCGACCCAGTAAATAAAGCTTTAGTTAATATTATTCTAATCACCTGTTAAGTGCGTATCTGACGCTAGCACCCATACAGGATGTATGGGATTCTTGTAAAATGATCCTACTGTGCAGTACCTATGATATTCCATTATGGTTATAAAACCTATTTGGCTCTGACTTTCAATCCCTTTTAGTTCTGAAAGAATAATTTGCATCAGGTAAATAATGGCGAGATACAGCAAATTTTTGTAATGTATGTCATAACAATCAGAGATATTATACGCCCTTTATATCTATCAATTTCTTCTTGATGTTATAAATTCATAAAGTTTTATCATATTTATTCATTTATTTAGCCAATAAGGCATATATGCCTAATTACAAGGATAGGTTTATACAAACAGTAAGTTTACATATATCAGAGTCAGTTTCAGAATTGCAGTAAATCAAATTCAAAACATAATCTAACTAAAAAGATTCATAAGACACTGAAATATTAAAATGCGAAATCTATTAAAAGATATATTCCAGTAAAAATCATGGAGAAATTCTGATGAGATTAAAAAGTGTTTAAAAAGGTAAATAGAATATGTTAAGATTTCGAGTAGTTTGTGAAGGTAAATGGTAAAAATGATAATAAACTGGCTGCGTTTATTCGACCATTAATAAGTTTATATAAAAATAGCATTGACAATAATTTTCGTCTACTGTCTAAAGATATTATTTTGAATTCAGTTCTTAAATGACCAGATCTTACAGTCGTGAAATCAGGTCGGGTGTGATACTTTTTTTTATACTTCGGAAATTTATTTTGTATTTTCACAACTCTACCCAATACGACGGAAAGAACCGTTACACAAAGTTAATTTGAGAAAAAAACATCGCCAATCAGCGACAGAAACATTTATAAATAAAAATCGATTATTTTTAATTGTGTCGTTGATCTAGGGATATGTCAGTTTAACAAGTGTACCAACCCAACAACAAAAGTTGTAAATAAGTGAAGTCAAGTGTTAAAAATAATACGACTTGGAACTGAACACATATTGCATATATAGCATATGACCACGACCTTACTCAATGATTTTATCACCTAGGAATAAACCTAATATAACAAAATTTATCAATACAATGATATACCTATCTATTTAATATTTAATTTGGCTGTTTGGTATAATGGTAGTTCTGAATTTAAGGTAAAATTGGGTGTAAAATAGAACATGTTCTATTTATCATGACAAACTTGTATGAATTAATTCACATACAGTCATTGTCAGATGTAAAGGGGACGCATACATATTTAAAATAGTACTTTATCAATGTTTTGCCTTCTCGAGAGACTCTTCAATTTGTTAAAATTTGTTTAATCAATAATAATTTTACTTTTTAGTTTGTTTCTGATTACTTACTCAGCCCTCCGACATCTTCATAATGATCCCACACATACGTCGTTGCCATCCCAGTCATTACTAAATTTATAAGACTTTGGCTGCCATAGCCATATGTTTCGTCAATTAATGGATCTTGGCTATCTGAATCAGCTTTAACTCGCTCTAAACCCTATAAAATATTAAAATGTTTCGTAAACTGTAAATGTATAAAACGCAACTAAAAATTGACATGATATTATTGCTCTGATTACTATTTGACGAAAAAAAAAAAAAAAAAAAAAAATGTTGGGCCTATCTATCTTTACCAATATGACACTAATATCTAATATTAAAAAACACATATAGTCTAATTCTAAAAGCATCTTCAAATTTACCCACCTGAAAATCCTTAAAGAGAATAGAAACGCTATTATATTGAATGTTTCATAGATTTGGGTGATATTTCAGGAATCGTTAATTCATTATTTTAATCTTGGTAAACTGACTTTGTTTTTCTATCGATTTAATATATTATATTTTCAGAATATTTAATTTGGTAATGATTTGAGGAAACATAACCTCATTTATTTGAATTCACCAATTTCAGTAATGATTCAAAGTGTAATTAAAAAATACAACTCTGTTTTATTTCTCAGTTGATGTTTGTATCTAAGGATTTATAGGTTGGTTAATATTTAGCAATGTTTTGTGAACTAGGCTAATAGTTTTTATATATCATCATTCTAAGCGCAAAAAACAGGTTATGGGATAGCCTTTTGCTTATATCATCTTATACAGTGAGCACCATAAGTCTTACCCCCCTATCTAACTCGTTACTGGAGTGTTGTTAGGAAAATCGCCGAGACACGTCGATTTTTAATTTCTACAATGTACATTTTTGTATGAATAGTTTACCCTTAATTTCATCCCTTACTGGAGGGGAGCAACCATTTCGAAAAATTTAAATGGCATGGGGTGGTGAGTGATAGCTCATTTGAAAGAGGGTTTTATTCTCTATTCAACCGTGTAAAAAAATTTGAAATTTGTTTCATTAATTCTCGACTAATTGTTGTTTCATATAACGGAAATTAACGTAGCGCACTCATCCTTAGAATTAAAATTCGGCCCTGCATGATTTCGGTTTTGGTTCAGACGTGAAGTAAGACTTTTTGCCATTAGAAGGTCACTGTTAGTGTAGTTGCTTTCCTATTTTGTGAGGTTTTGTTATTTTTAAACATTAATAAATCAACACGTAATGAAGCAAATTTCAAAATTTTTTGCACGGTTGAATACAGAATAAAACCCCCCTTTCAAATGAGCTATCACTCACCACCCCATGCCATTTAAATTTTTCGAAAGGGTTGCTACCCTCCAGTAAGGGATGAAATTAAGGGTAAACTAATCATGCAAAAATGTACATTGTAGAAATCAAAAATCGACCTGTCTCGGCGATTTTCCTAACAAGACCCCAGTAACGAGTTAGTTAGGGGGGGTAAGACTTATGATGCTCACTGTATAGAATGGATCATGACAAAAATAAAATAAGAATATATTATGAATATAATTAACCTGACTCCTGGTAACATAAGTTGCCAAGTAGTCGTGGACGAGGTGAGTGCAATCTTTATGTACACCAAGGTTGCAACATAAATAAGCAATTCGTTTAAGCTCCTTCAATTATTCTGCTTAAAGCTGAGATGGGATGATCATTTTTGTGTACCGAAGATAAAGATAATCTGATTGACTTCAAATCTGTGAATTCGAATATCAAAGCATATGTGCTTTGGTAGCTCAACTGGTAAGAGTATGGACGGCTAAAGTACGAGATTCCGGGTTCGACTCCAAGCCGATGCATTCATTCTTTCTTTAATTCTCAGCTTTTACAATTTTTCCTTGGTTTGTTTTTACTTTGGAGATATGAGGGGGTAATTTTCAAAATTTCGTAGGGGGAACTGGGGTTTTATATTTTCAAAATATTCCATTTAAAATATCAAACAGCATTTCCGGTAAAACTGGAAGTCGGCCATTTTGTTTACAAAACGTCAATTTGTGACGACACCGCAGAAACTCGCATACATTTAAATGTACTGCTTTACAAGTATTCGCGATTCAATTTAAATTAATTTGTGTGCCTCTCAGTTGTCACCTATAAGTAGGATGTTTGTTTATTTGCATTGTATTTCTTTTGGGCAGGATTTTGTATTTGTGATTTTTTAACTATTTTTAGATAATATTCTCATTTACGTGCTTTCGTCATAAATATAATCTTTATCATGTGTTTATCACTTTTGTTGGAAATCTTCAGTTATTGGTTGCTACACAAACATCTAGAAATATGTATTTACTAAACCCAGGATATGTTTTATTATGCGGTTTAAAGGACATTTCAGGTACCAAATGTTTATTATTGATGAACTTAATTAAAAATCTTACTATACTTATTCTTATATTATGATGTGAATGGTGTAGTACTTTGTATACATTTAAATGGTAATAAAACCGTCACAAATCAGATTGCAGTTTGATTCTAGACAAAATTTTGCAAAATCTCAATATTGTGAATTTGGAAATAACCATTTATCATAAGAAACAACATTTTACGACTTACGCTTGGAAAATAATGAACACTTCAGTTTTGATTTTGACATTAATGCCATACAGATTGCAATTTGCTGGGGGCTTTTTCGAAAATATAATTTTTAATATAAACACTATCACATAATATAAAAAAAATAAACAAATTTAAAGCTAAAGTAAGAAAATATTCGAATTATAATTGATACAAATTAAAATTTATACAGTGTCGGAAAATCTGAGGGGGTACTTTATAGAAGGTCGTTTTTCTACTTTAAGGAATATGTTTTTTACGCTTGGAGAAGAAAATTCTTCAAATAAAAATTGCTTGTAATATTATTCTCTATAATTTTTGTCCTATACATAATTTTCCTAAAATGGTCCGTATTCTAGAAATTTGACAAAAAGAACAAAATTGCATTTTTTAAGAAAATTGTTCAAATAAAAGTTTGTTTGTGTTGCCATTCTCTATAATATCCTTGTTCTACACATAATTTCTCTAAAATGGACCTTATTCGAAATATTTGAGAAAAAGTAAAAATTTTCGAAAAACTGTAGAGAAAAATACCAAATTTTAAATTTAGGCTTCAATTCATCCTGGGGTGAAATAATTAAATTTAGGGCATAGTAGGAACATCTGGGGGGGGGGGTACTTTATAGGGCGTCTTTTTTCTACTTTATGGAATATATGTAATTTATGCTTGGAAAAGAACATTCTTCAAATGAAAGTTGCTTGTAATATTATTATCTATAATTTTTGTCTATACATAATTTTCTTAAAATGGTCCCTATTCGAGAAATTTGACAAAAAGTGCAAAATTTGAAATTTTAAGAGAATTGTTCAAATAAAAGTTGTTTGTGATATAATTTTCTATAATTTTTGTTCCATATATATGTATATAGGATTTCTCTAAAATGGACTGTAATGCAAAAATTTGAGAATATGTGTAAACTTAATTTTTCAGTATTTTGGTTGGCAATGAATATAAATAAAAAAATGTTTCGAGTAAGATGTGGGTGGAAACATTTACAGGAGTGATACAATAGATAACTAGACAGAAAAGTAATGTGATGGACACATCAAATTTTTTAAATTAAGCAGATTGTTTTTTTTTGCACATAGCAATAGTACATACAGTTAAATAACTTAAAATAATGTTTCTAGTAAGACAAATCGAGTTTAAGCATTGAATATAGTGAACAGCCAATCATTTAACATAATATAGTAAACCAATTAAAGTGTCAAACACACAAAAACCTTAACAAAATAGGTGAATTATATATGGCTAATTGACACAAACCTATGTAGGTTATACGGTGACGTCATATGCATGTGCAAGTGCTGTATCAATAGTTTATTGTTTTCAAAATGTACATATGATAAATGTTACTAATATATCCTGTTGTAACAGAATATAATCCTTGGGTGAGAACATACTATATAATTAGGTTGGTCAAAGAAGTAACATCATTTTTAATTACCAAACAAACATTGTTTTGACTTAAATTGTATCGACTGATTTTGTATGTATATTAAGGGTGGTATTACAGAACGTCTGCAACTTTGCGGATCTGCAAATATGGCGGACTTACAAACGCAAGTATTCTAAAAAATATCTGCAAATTCGCAATATTTATTGTGGTTATTACCCCCAACAACACTAAACCCAAATTTGGAATACGAAAACTTGATACTTGCATGTGTAAGTCAGTCATATTTGCAAGATTTTCAAAGTTGCCGCCATATTTGCAGATCTGCAAAGTTGCAGACGTTCTGTAATCTCACCCTAACTGTGTTGTATTGGTAACTGTAGTTAATTCTAAACCCCTGAATCTCATTCTCTAGGCTTTCTGGACAAATTAATTTAAAACATAAGCAAATTCAATCATAAATATATTGTGCAAATAGAAAATTCCTTAAAAAAATAGATTATTTACCTTAGAAGCTATCACAGTGTATAAAAACAACAAAATGCCATACTGTGCTTTTAATTTAGATGTATTTTCTGAATAATACTTATTAACGTCATCTAGGCACTGAAAGCAATGTACTTTTAGGTTTTCATGAAACCTAGCTGGGTCTACTTCTACAGGACTAGTACTTGGAACACTTGGTCCTTTAACCCCTGTTTCACTAAGCTGTTCACTTAAATCACTGTTTAAATACACTACATAATACTTTCTGGTATTACATTGTCCAAGTATTTCACAGAGAGCAGTAACTAATACACGATTTTGGATTTCTAGATTTATCTAAAAACAAATAAAAGTAAAATTTATTAATGGGTTAATGTTAGTACACTTAATATAACTTTACATTTTCTATGTTATCCTGTTACCTAATTATTTTTAATTTTCAATATTTTTATATGTATATATTTGAATTATAAGAAACAGGAAAATACAAGTTGATACATCAAAGAAATCAGAAAATTATCTGGAATGTGAGCTAAGAAAGAAATGGGGAAAGTAATATTTATTCTAATTAATATTGGGTCATGCAGGCATCTTAAAATATGAAAAAATTTTAAATTTACAGCTTTAATATCAAAAACAAGAAACATTGTAAAAATTATGGGGATTGTGGGAGAATTCGGTAAAATTGTGGGGAAATAAGGAGGAAAGAGTGGAATTTTGGGGGGAATTGGTGAATTTTGGTTCGGTTAGAATGTTTTGTGGGGAAATTTTGCTTCGGTTAGGTTATCATCCATATGTATATCTGATTTATTATGGAAATATTTAAAAATAGCACAAAAAACTGAATTCAACGTCATTGTTTTTATTTGGGGGGCAGACGATTTTACTAGTCAAATTTTAAATTAAAATTCTTATTTCTGAGTATTTTCAGGGTACAATATTAAATAGGATTCTATTACGCCAGCAGGCTAGCTTATTCGCTGCTTAAATTTTCCGTAAACATCTTGTGCGACATGTTCAATAACAAGTTAATTGATCCGCATATTTTTCCTCATTGGTTTACTAGTAAAATTTATTTAGAGTTTTCTGAAACTATATTGCATGGTTGTTAAATATTGAGAATTTAGATGCTTCTTCCCATTATTTGTTCTTTTTGAAACAATAACTTTGTTAATATGTGGATAGGCAGAGGTGGACCTCATAACTGGCCTTCGAGATTAATTGATTTAAAACTTGCTGATTACCAAATCTGGGGATACTTGAATTCAATAGTTTATTTTTTTGAAGTAGAGAAGTGCTACTTCAGAGAATTGAAGATGCAAGTGCAGAAAAAAAAATAATCCAGATGTGATAAGAAAATAAGAAAGTATAGCTATCACAATGGTGGTTATTTTAAGCAATTGTAGCTCTATCATAACAATAAGGCCCTTTGTCTCATTAAATTAGATGATGTTCTTATTGGTTGTTGTTACACATCTCTGAGAACTGGTCAATTTCCAGAAAACCTAAAAGTACGGATGTACTTACACCTAAAATAGACAATAATAAAGCTAAAAATTTTAGACATATTAGAAAAAAAATTAGAGCTTTCTGTATATCATCAGTTATTAGATTATCTAGACTAGCGTTACTCAAAGTGTGGTCCGCCGGGCTCCGCAAAATCTTTGTGGGGGCTCCGCGAAGAAAATAAGCAGTACCTATCGCTACAACGGGACTTGGCTCGAGGATCTATTAGGTTTTTTTAGAAGGAGTAAATGAGTTTTGGTATTTTCGGTTGTTTTTTAGACGTCAAGAAGAGGCAGGCATATATGATTTTGAGAATTTTGTTGTAGGGGCTCCGCAAAGAAACGGGAGGGACCTGGCAAGAGGCTAGAGCAAGGAGGGCTTTTTTTTCCGAAATGTGTTTAGGGCTTTGTCAAATATTTCACTTTTCAAAAAGGTTCCGTCACCAGTTTGAAAACCACTGATCTAGACAATAATAATTTACTAATAGAATATCAATCTGCTTTCAGAGCTGAGCATTCATGTGAAACGGCATTACAAGTAACTTTAACAAAACGGAAATTTGATATAGATAGCAACGACAAATATATTGTAGCACTTTTCTTAGATTTCAAAAGGCCTTTTGAAACTATTGACAATTCAATATTACTTAAAAATCTTGCATATTTTGGAGTTGAAGAAACAGCATTATTATGGTTCAAAAATTTTCTCAGTAACCGTTCATAGAATACTAAATAAAGTTCATAATTATAAATCAAGTAATAAAAGTGTAAAAAGCAGCGTTCCTCAGGGCAGTGTCTTGGAACCCCTTTTATTTATTTTGTACCTCAATAACATAATGTATTTGCGGATGATAATATGATTGCAGTTGCAGATGAAATACTAGAAAGAGTGGTTCTAAAAATGAACAATGCACTACAAAATCTGTCTAGGTTTTTAGATATACTCGTAAATCGCCTCAAACTTAATGTAAATAAAACAAAGGGGATGATTATCACTACTGAATATAAGTATAGGCAAATAAATACAAGACTTATTGATCTGCAAATATTTGGAGAGCAAATTGAAATTGTTACAGAGTTTAAGTACCTTGGATTCCAAAAGATAACACATTGAGTACGAAAAAACATTTTATTTATATTTTCGGCAAAATCTTCAAAAGCTGTATTTTTTTAGAATATTACGAAGGAATGTGACATTTAATACAGCAATATTAGTGTATAAATCTATTATCCAAACACATCTAGATTTCTGCAGTAGCTTACTAATGCTATTAGACACAAACAGTTTTGCCTCTTTGCAGAAACTACATAACAGAGGAATGTGCTTACTATTAAAACGTAATCGGTATATTCCGATTAAGTTAATGTTGGATACTTTAAATTGGCTATCAATAGATTTTTTATTCAGCGATGATATTCATCTTTAAAATAACACATTCCCACACCCAACTTACTTTATTAATCAATTTATTACCTACAACAATTAAATTCACACATACCCCACTAGAAGCAACACAAGCTTTTATGTCACTCCTACTAACTTTACATCCACACAGAAATCCCTATTTCATAATGGTCTGCTTGAATTCAACAAACTTCCCAAGGAGATGAAAGAATGTAATACCGTTGTTAACTTTAAGTCAGAACTTTTTAAATATTTAAGATTTCAGCACTAGTAATTTTATATTTTTTTGTATCTGTCGTATATGTATTTATATATTAGAACCTGTAATTATTTTCATTAACACAATCTATAAATTAGGACTACCACTAATTATTCAAATTCTTTGAACTGCTCTTGAGTAATAAATTATTTCGTTGTAAATGATTCCATTGTAAATCATTGTCACAACTCAAAGTTTCTGAATTCGAGAGTTATAACAGTAAAGCAGATGGTAGCAATTAAGCTTTGTATTTCAAATTCCGACCGGACAATTGAGAGAGTAATTCCTTGTATAACAAATTCTAGAAAATGTTAGTTTAATGGATAAAATTTCTATTATCATAAATGGCATGTGCACAGCTACTGTTCTCACTGAGAGTAGTTGGTTAAAATTCAGAAAGTAGTATAATGTAGTCATCAGTTGTGAAAAGTTTTAATTTGTGTAGTTTCTGTAAATAGTACAAGAGTTTAATGTAAAGGTTTCCTTAACGCCATAATGTTAAGATGGCCCTTCTACTTAATAGAATTTTTAAAATTTAATCTGTAAATAGTGTTTCTTGCAAAACGAACCAGTTAATAAACAACGACTATGGAAGATACGGTGTGATGTGGTTGTGGATTGGTAGTTTTTAATTTTAAGAATTCACACCCCTTCACTAAAGTTTATTATATTTTTTCTTAATTATTATTGGTTTTTGTTATTTGATAGTCTTACTAAGTATGGATGGAGTAGGTCTTCTGGAGATACCACAATAAATATAAAGTAAAAAAAAATTAAATAATCAATATACAGGATGTTGTACAGTGGTGTAAATTTGGGTAGTAAAATTGTCTGTCTATAATATCTTTGAATTCAGTTTCTTGGGATCTTTTTAAATATGGAAACGAATTATAATAAATCAATTATACAGGGTGTTATTTTCAGGGTGGACGAATTTGTAAATTTTTATCTAAGCCGGACTGGGATTTTTCTAATTCCACAGTTAATGTATGTCCATTCTCCAATGAATCACCCTGTATAAGTAAACAATAATAATGTAGGAAAAATGGAGTATCCTTCTACTTATACTATATTTGATTGATTGGAATCTAATATATTTGACTCGTTTTTTTAAATAGCAAATTTAAAGTATAAAAAATAGTGTATTAAGATTAAAAAGTATATTGTCTTAAACACGAGTTTTTATTTTCCTAATATTTTCTACCCTAAGTAATTTTGCCAATCTTGTTTTTGGTGGAATGAGCCACAGGTCCTCTCAAGAACTGCCAAATGTGTTTTTTTTAGAAATTAAAAGCCTCTTTTGCCTAAAATATGGATTACATTTGATCATTAACAACGATAGTCTTGCAAAAGGTACTGCCGAGATACTTTTAAAACCTGCTAATAATTCAAAACAAGCCAAATAACTTTTTACAGTTCATTTGGATGAATAGAAATTATATTTATAGGAACTGCAAGTGTCTAACAAAACAAATCAAAAGCAGTACAGTAGTCTGTAAATATTATGACATGTTTGTGAGTCATGTTCTCGATTGGAGGAATATCTAACTTTCCAAGATAATCTACATTTATAAACATGAATCATACTATACTCGCGCAGTACATATTAAGTCACCCAGATGAATATTGAAAGACAATAAAAAAGGGTGTACTTTTCTTTAATAAGTATAAGAGTATGGAAATGTTAGTCGATATTTAAAGTTAGGTATGGGACATTGCCTGTGCAAAACAAATAATTATATTTATTCTTATTCCACTCATATCCAACATTATGTACAAATTTCACTTGTACACCTACTCATTAAAGTATAGTTAAAAACAATTCTACCTACAAAAACCATCCTGAAAAGGTTAACAACACTTTTTGAAAAAGAATACCCTATATTTCTATTTAAAAACCGGCTATTATTATAATTATTACAGATTCTTTACCGATTCTCTAAAACATAAATCTTTGTACTCTAAAAGTAGGTTTTTGAGAATAAAGGCTTCCACAGGGGCTATTATTGCACATGGTCCACCTTCCGTTTGTTCCAAAGCACTTTTTTCCTGTGAACTAAAATAAAAACCTACAAAAAGTCAACATCAGTCATATTTTAAAAAGAGCAATTTGTAAATTATACCTTGTGACCACCTTTTAAAAATATCCAGTTTGATTTCGTTGCCCCAAAGTAGATGTTTAATACCTAACAATTCCTGTTCAATGGCAGAAGGTAGAGTTTCTGCCATTGTTAAAATTTAAATTTAATTTACAATTTTTTACAATAATTATTTAGTATACATTTAAGGTTATAACAAAATTGACATTTTAGAAAATCTACTTCGCACTGCCAGTAGTGCCAATTACCAATCCGCAATAAATTCGAATACCAATATTTAAAACTGAAAATTGCTAAACAGCATTGTGGGAAAAATAAAATTCGTTTCATAAAACTTTTAATTCAATTTCAATTGTTTATAATGCCATTGTTAATGATTATGATTATTATAAAATATCGCAGAATTCATAAAATTAATAAAATTTATTTCTGGCCTCAGCTGCGTTAAGTATTTTTAGATTTAGTACCCAAGTATCCAAAAATAAACCTAGTGTTACCTAAAGTCCGTTTATAAAAAGATTAGTTTACAAAAGCTTTTACGAATTATATTAGATTTGAAAGATTTTCTGACTAGTTTTGATATAATCAGTGGCGGTTTTCTTTAAAATATTTGCAAAAATTGTAAAAAAACTGTGTTGGGTTGTCTTCTTAGGAAAAATCTGTGGTAATCAAAAGTTTGAATATATTTTATCTTAAACAAGGAAGTTTAAAAAAAATGGATGAAATTGAATATATTCGTTCAAATAAAGGTGGTCAGAAAATAATTTACAAAGGGTACATGTACACTGTGCACAAAAATAAAAAATGCGGAGGCATAAGATGGAGATGTGCTCAAAGGAGTTTAAATTGCAAGGTAAAAAATACATTTCTGTTAAAAATAATGTAAGTTGATAGTTTGTTTATAGGGTAGTATTTCGACGACGTCATTGGGAATACCTTATTTAAATATACCTCACAATCACTTACCAGATACCCTTTCGACAGAAGCAGCAAGAAATAAAGTATTTGATCAAACCCCTTTAGATTTTCATAGTTTTTTGGATTTATTGATACAAGAACCACCAGTAGAACAAACAATGGTCCCAGGTTAGTAAAAAATGTTTTAAGTCACCTTTTGCTGCGTTTGAATATTCACATTGGATGTATCTGAGATGTTGTAAATCTTTGATTACGTGATTCAATATTCGTAAATGTCGTAGGACAGAAGTGATCGATGTGGATATTCAAACGCAGCATTTATTGATAGGATCTACTTTCATAGTCATCACAAGTTTTTCCAAGTAGGATACCTACTTTTATTCGCTCTGGGGCGTGCTGAGCACGCATGCAGTACTGCCGACTCGCGTATCGGGGACAACACTAATCATTTGTAATTGCTGTGGTGGGAGTTTGTGTGTCTTGTTTGTTTTCATTTACGCCGTGACTAGCAGTAGTATTTTATAAACCTTAGAAGCAAATTTCACATACATGAACAAATAATAATAATGCCGTGACAACAAGAAGACGAAGCAACGACTTCTCGTAGTAGGGCGGCTTCGCCGCCACCAGAAAATTTTAATCCATAACTGGCTACGCCGACCGGCATAAACACCAATGGCCTGAACACAGCTCATCTACTCTGTCAAAAGGAGACCGATGAACAAATAAAACGCGTACGATATGCGCACTACAAATGATTAGTGTTGTCCCCGATACGCGAGTGTATTGCCGTCCCGGCGACGCGTTAAAGGGAAGACCCCCCGCAGTTATTGGGTGCTACGTCCAAATTTTGACCCAAAAGTTGCTATAGCAGAGGCAGAAGTTGGAAAGGCGTTTGGTAGGTTGAGAGGGGGTAAACGTCAAACCACGTCGGACGACTTCGAGAATTTCATAGAATAAGTAATTTTAAATTGTTACCGGCGGAACTGGACAATCGCATGTATTTATGGACTATAAATAATTATTAAACATGTATTATAATATCCAAATGATAATTCTACAAAATTTCAACAGCTATTCACAATTTATTAAACTATTTACTCGAAATTGTTATTAATATCTAAAAAATAATTTTGTACGCCAATGTATCGCGCCCACTTCGGTTAGATCCGCCGCAAACCTGTCAATATATGTGTATGAAGTTGGAGAACTAGCAAAAGCCTTTCCAACTTCTGTACCTGCTATAAGAAATCACCATGGGCAAAATATTTTTGGTATTTTTCTTAAAAAAAAAACCATATATATATAGGTACATATTTTTATGTATTCCATATAGTATCTGTATTGTACAAAATAAATAACTAACAATCTTTAGACCCTATTAAATATTAGGAACAAATAAAAAATATTTAAAATAAATAAATATTTTTCTGCCTCACTACACAGTAAAACAAAAATATTAAATCCTGAAAACTATTGACAACAATACGTGCCGCTTGTCGGACATCAAGAGGCCCGGGCCCCCGAAATTTGTACCGGCCGTATCCCCTATACACGGCCTTGTATATGATACTTAAAAGGAATATATTATGTAGATAAAGAGAGGGTATACGAACGATTTCAGAAAATTCACAAACATATGTGTACAAAGAATTAAAGTAGGTATAGTTATTTTAAAAATGATGATAAGATTCCCAATCACCGCCACTGTTTAACCACGAGGTAATTATGTATGGCCTAATAATATAAATTCTCACTATTTTTTTACTCAATAAAATGAATAAACAAAGGTGGTCAACACTGTTAAAATGCAACAATGGTTTAAGGCACGACGCCCGCGCGGTGCCACATTTCATTTGATTAAAATTTCTACTTCTATACTGTCAACATAAATAGGGAGAAAACAATCCCAAATAAATAACTTTTACGGGAAGTTTTTCACGGTCTGGGTTATTGTGAGTGTTAAATAGAATTCCATATCTCAAGAGCTCATTATACTGCTACATTATGACGTAGGTACGCTAAGTAGATACGTGTCTTCTTCTCTTCTTCTTTTCTTTTTTTGGGCTCGATTGAGCTAATTTGATGAAATTGAATATAACCATTCAAATAAATAAGACACATTTGACCGCTCTTTCATTCCTAATAAGTGACTAGAGTATTGGGCTAGAGTTTGGAACTCTCTTTGAGTATTTTCGCGCCCAACATTTTGGGTAGCACTGACATTTGGGTCGAGATCTTCTTTTCTCCAACTCTAGATCGCGACTGGTCGAGGTCGGGCGGCCGCGGTTGCTCTGTCGTTGCCACTCGTCGTTGCGTTTGCTTTTGCTTGCATTTCCGATTTCTGACAACTGAGCTCGGGCAATTGTTGTGACAACTTTTATTGTTTTTAACCTGATATGTAAATAAAACTTAATCGAATTATGTAGTAATCAGTGGCGATAGTTTTCGAACAGTAACTTCCAGCGAAATAACCATAAATTGACGTTTACTTTAAGTTATAACACCTATAAGTGAATTCGTTTTGGTAAGGTTATCTCCAGTGGCCAAATCCCTGAGTTCATGCACTTTTGCATGATTATCTTGAAAACAGTTTGTACTTAATTTAAAGCCCGGATGTGTTACCGGCGATTAACCCATATTTTTCCATGCTTACCTATTTTTATTGATTAATAGAAAACAAACGATTACAATTTGCTTCTACTGATTGTTTTGGGACCACCGTGCAGTATTATTAATGACTAGATTCGATAAGTTGAAAAAGGGCTAAGTTAGCACCATAAAAATACATACAATAATCGTTTACTTTTCGTACCAAATGCTTTATTAGTGTAAGTTTTTATTTAGTGTGCATATTTACTTGCATCATTTGCCTGAATTTATTGTTTAAATTGAGTAACAGTGTAGTGGTGCTAAGTTGACGTATCAAGATGGCCGAAGTGCTAAAGAAACAACGAAAAAGTAATTTTTCCCAGGATGAAGTTGAAACTATAGTGAAAGCAGTGATGGAAAATTACGAAACTTTTTACGGGGAATTCTCCAAAAAAGCTATAAATAAAATTGCAAGACACAAAGCTTGGTTAGAGGTAACAAAAGAAGTGAATTTGGTGTCAAGTGAAAAGAGAACTTTACAAGAAGTCAAAAACAAGTGGAAGAAGTGTCAGCATTTATATCGTTCTGATGATCATTTTCCATATAATAGTTTTAGCGATGATGGTATGTCTTTGAACAAAACAATCAGTGCTAGATTTAATAATTGCTTTTTATTTCTCTAGTTCTCGACGTCACGAATGTTTGGGAACCGCTGACAGAAATTGAGGATGAAGGTTTGTTTACCGAGTATTGACATTTTTTTTACAATACCATTGTTGCCTTGGACGAAAATAATTAAATAATATTAGATTGGTCCCAAAATAGTCATTAGAGATAATTCGGTTCGTTATTTAGAAAATAGCCATTGTCCTCCAATTGTTTATAGCTAAAATTTGGAACCCAAATCCTATTTATACCTAATAATTTCTTCCCATTAGGTACTTATAAACCATTTGAGAGACTTTTTGTATTTCCTTTATTGTATAGAGTCCTAGATTTGGAATATATAGGATGTCCAGAAATTAGCAAATAGGTAGGTATATCAGGGGGTGATTCTACATCAAAAAATTGGTGACCTCTTGTCATTGATTAAAAAATTTAGCATACATACTTGCAGGTATCACTATTGTAAACAAAAAATCTTAGTTCCATATCTTGTGCAAATTAATTATAATGTTCACAATTAATATTTTTAAAGCTTTGTGATGATATTCTTGTGTCTTAAGGTGGATTCATAAACTACGTTCAGTTCGCGCTCAGTTCGAGTTGGCAAGACAACCACAAATTCCACAAAATAAAATTATATTTTGGTATTAGTTTTGTTTTAATTATATTTGTTGATGGTGTTGGTTATAAAATAATTATGAATCCCTTATAATTTCTTATCCAAAACATATTTACCGTGTAATTCTGCTCTGTTTATGTTGAACTCCAACTGAATGTAGTTTATGAATCCACCTTTACACTATTGCCAAGTAGCACAAAAAGTGTATATCCTATTATTTATTGTCAAATAGTACAGCAATTCATTTCTAATCATTTTCCTTGCTCTAACAATATTTTATAATGTAACTGTTGGCATTGTTTTACTCACCCAGACATTTCCTGTTCTGATTTTTCCAATAGGTAATATAGTTTCACCAAATAAAGATTTTATAGATTTTCTTATAATATTGGATATTTAAAAGTAATTGTTTACTAAACTTTCATTATAAGTTTCCTCTCTGGGCTCACTATGCTCTATAAACCACCTTGAGATACATGCCAATAAACTTTCTCTCTTTTACTCAAGATTTTTTTGTCTCACTTATTTTAAACTATTCATGTCAAAGTTATTTAAAATCGTCGTATTCATCAGACTTTTTGCAAGATATTTTCAATATTAATAAAGTTACCTAAAGTATATTTTTGGTGAATATTAATAAAACAAATATGGGGCAGTCTGGTCATACTTCAAAACCATCAAAATAGTCTGGTATTTTAATTTCTAGATTATATAAATGATAAAATACAAAATTAAAAATAACTTCTAGATTCCCTCTTTTTTATAATTTCAAATTGCCTAAAAATACCTTCTCCAAATTCGTCATCAGCTCTTAGATTAAAAAAGCAGGAATTTAGTGTCTATTTTTTAGATTATGCACGTAATATTTCAATTTAAAAATATTCAAGAAAATCTAGTAAAATATTTTCCAAATATCTTTATTGCCACTAAAACTGGAGATAACTTACCAAACATATTATAGTTATCTAAATAAAAATGAAGATAAAAAATAAAAAAATTAAACAATGCAAAAAGCCTTTAATCGAAAGCAAAACGCGACTAAAACAAACATTTTTTGAGCCGGAATTTAAAAAAAAGGTTGTGACTTTTGCTGAAAAAACGGACAATTCGGAAGCCAGAAGAAAGTATGGAGTTTCCGCAACAAATATTAGACGATGGAGGGCAAAAACTAGGTTATCGCTTAAGCAGCAAACCGAGAAATCTGATCAAAAGTCGTCTGATCCAAAGTCGTCCGATTCAAAGTCGTCTGATTCAAAGTTATCTGATCCAAAGTTGTCTGATCCAAAGTTGTCTGATTCAAAGTCGTCTGATCCAAAGTCGTCTGATATAAAACCATCTAATCCAAAGTCGTCTGATTCAAAGTCTCCTAATAAGTCTAAGAAAAAAAACTTAGGTATTATTTTTAGCAGTAACAAAATAATGTAGACCGCGCGGTATTAATTTCCAAAATATAAGTTTAACGAATAACACATTTTTTATCGTGTGTTGTTTCTTTAAGCTGTTATTGCCGAAATTAATTTTTTGGTATAAAAAATTCAATATTCCACAATATTTTAATAATAATAATTTCTTAAAATAACATTAAACAAACTTTGCAATCATAACTTTTCCTGTTAGCATATGCGTTGCATTCTCTGTACGTTTATATCTACTTTGATTTTATTTTTGTTATAGTAAAAAAAAATTTGACTTAATTTTTGTTTTTTTATATTTTATTTTTCATCAATTTTATAGATTTAGAGGAACTTGCCCTTTTTAAATGCAAAATTGAGATATACTATGATGTTCAATAACAATTTTCATAGAAACCAAAACAACTATAATTTCTACTAAAAAAAAACAAACTTTTGAAATAATGGATTTGTTTTGTAGCATTATAACCTTTCATTACGGCCATCATAACACCTATGCTAATATATAGTGCAGTTGTCTGGCAGCGCAACAATTGACAAACTACATCAAATTCAAAGAACAGCATCTCTCAACATAACCGGAGCTATGAAAACCACACCAACTAGAGCATGGAAGTAATTTTTAATCGCTCCTCTTGATATGTACATCAAGGAGGTTGTTCTGATGACAATTACATGACTCAAGATATATATTCCATAAGCCATATAAAGTTATAACAGAACAAATATAAGAGCCGTAAGTGTGGTTCTAAAACAAAGCAAGGCTAAGGATGTGGAAGATACTCCAGATGCTTATACCTAAATATACAAGTAAAATGGGCTCTGAGCAATACTACCAGTTTAGTTCAAACCAAACTTACAGGGATTCTTATAGCAGCAAAAGAAGTTACCAGAAACAATATTACTGGAAGGAACATGCTCATCTATACAGATACCAGGCAAGTACTACTCTCCCTGGATATACTATGAATTTACTCAGGGTTAGTACTAGAATGTCACGGAGCTTTAACCAAGGTATCCATCAACAATGTGGACACTTTAAAATGGATCAAAAGTCATGCCATATCAAATGGTAACCTAATTAAAGAACATTTCCTTGCGAAATTCAATGAAATATGGATTGAAACAAGAAGCTGTCAATGTTCCAGGGAGCTTTTAGATTATCCTGACACCACGGTAAACGAAAATACTTGACTTTGATTAGACAAAATCTGTACCTAATCACAGGCATTTTGACTGGTCAGTTCCAAGTAAGGAAGCACCTTTATATCATTGGGCTGTGCGAACAAGAAGATGAGACCATCGAGCATATCCTTCATAATTGCCCGACTTTCTCATTTACTAGAACATTTATGTTTGGCGAGTATTGTCTAACAATGACTGATATAAGAGAAGTCCCTTTGGCGACGTCAACTACATCAAATCTATAGGCTGGCTGATGAGCTAGGAGGGGTCTATCAACTTAAGAGGATGCACATTGGGCCTAGTGAGGCCAAAGTGCCATGGGGTACCCACCTTCCACACATTAGATATACATAACCTCTCATTAAAAGTTATTATGATACTTAGATTAAAGAGACCGAAGATGTAACACTGCACACTGCGCATGTTGTCTATTTTAACTCTAAGTAACCCACCTCTGCCTGAGTTCAATCACCAATGACAGCTGTTTTTTGATTTATTTGTTGGTGTTTTAGCAATTTAGAGTTTTCTAGTTATTTAATTTTAAGTTCAAAATGCCACGATGTATCTTGAAAAATGGTATATACTTATAATACAAGTACCAATGTTATGAAAACTAAAAAATATATTCTGTTCCTTTGGGCTGAATACTTCAGATCCGCATTAAGGGGTTTCAATAAATATTCAGCATCAAATACATATTTCAGAAAACATTTCATATTACTTACATAAATTTTCAAAAGGGTAAAATTTTGAACATTTAATTTAAATAAGAAGAACATAGGCATTGTTGCTAACGAAATTTTGTTTTTAAAAAGTAATTTTATAAGAATATTTACTAAAGGTGGTTTTTAGGCCTATTTGGTAGATAAATAAGAAGTAAAGAAGCATAGTTGCTAGCTAAATTTTATATCTATAAGTTTTTTTTATAAGAATATTAGATGAAATACAGGATGACCTACTTAAAATTTCAAGGTTCATCTTATTTGCGGTCTAATCGAAAGTGACATTTGAATCTTAAATCTTAAAACAAAGTAAAATGCACAATATGATCTAGTATAAGCAAAAAATACTAAAGTTACGGGAGTTAGTCACATTGTTAATAAAATGTTACATTATAAACCCCTAAACAACTCGAACAAAATTTCCGTTCACTAAAAAAATCCAAATTCTATATATATATATATATATATAGATTCGTCCTGCCGACTTTGTGACATCATGTCGCAAAAATGTTGCTATCTTTCTAACATCCGTCTGCGATGTGACATCCAAATTCGGATGTCACAACGTTTTTGGGGTTCAAACATCATAAAGGAGGTTTAAAAGGGAGCCAAAAAAATTTCAGCTGGATGTCATAATGCTTAATTTTCAATTTTATGTATATATTTAGTTCCAGTGTATAGATGCGAAGGTGGCGCTCGCGTCAGTTGGTTTTGTATATTTTGTATATTAAATATTTCAGTCCCTCGACTGTCTGGCATCCACCATTAAGTATATTAGAATTTACTCACTCGACTCTCTGACATCCAACATTCAGTATATTAAAACTTACTCACCCGACTATATGACATCCACCATAGAGTATATTAGAACTTTACACACTAGGTTATGTGACATCCAAAAAATTTATTTTAGATATATTTGGATTCTCATTTTAAGATCTATTTTATGTTAACACATTAACTGCCAAAAATTTTTGTTGGGTTTCGCATAGAGCCAATAAGTTTTTTAAATGCATTTACTCTCTGTGACTAATAAATATATATGCAGCTATATTATTACAAGGTGTATCAACAATGGGTGAGTGGACGATGACTGTAATTTATATTAAAATAAATTAAATTAAAATAAA